TTATTTAAAAAAATTTTTTTTTTCCTGTTTCCTCAGTGGTTTTTTTTTTTTTTTTTTTTTTTTTTTTTTTTTTTTATTCAATATGATGAAAAAATTTAATATTTTTTGTCACTCAATTCAAAAACTCATATTATATGGAGTTACTTCATAAAGAGAAATATTTATAATTAAAAAAATATGATGTGTAAGCCAGAATAATTAAAATTACAACAACTAAGGACTTGAAATATTTTTCTATGTGAAATATTTCAAGTTAACTATATTTCAAAACAAATATAGTTAATATTAACTATAAAAAAAAGTTAATACCATAAACTCAACATCTTTTAACCTCTTTATATTTTCTCTCAGCATAAATGGCCCTTTTTGTGTTGCAGGCAGAGGCTTCCACCGAAAAACGTCTACTACTACCGTTGCCCTGACCACAGACGCAACTATGTGATGTCATTTGCCTTTTGCTTCGACCGAGAAGACGACGTCTACCAGTTTGCATACTGCTACCCCTACACCTACACCAGACTGCAGCATTACCTTGCCAGCTTGGAGCGCAGAAACCTCCCCTACCTGAAGAGGGAGCTGCTTGGACTCAGCGTGGTGAGTCCCAGAATGAAAACATGGCACAAGCAGGTGGACAAATGAAAATGTGAGGTGGGTGGAAAATGTCTAGGCTTGAGACAGGAAGTTTAAATCATGATGCGGATTAGACATGGAGGAATTATGGGATATGGTGTGTGTCTTTTTTTTTTTTTTTCTTTTTTTTTTTTTTGCTTTAAGGGACCCAGAGGGGGAACTTAGGAGTCCCTGCTGGTCATAATTTTGGCCTCATGTTATTATTAGTATTGTTACACTGGGAGACGACATGATACGTGAGTGTGTGTGTGTGTGTGTGTGTGCGTGTGTGTGTGAGCAGTGGAGCTCTCACCTCAGCAGTGGAAACCAGTGTATCATACATGCAGCCTGCAGTCTTGTCTGCTCTTATCAAATAATTGTATGAGAAAAACTCATTAGAAATGCTTGAGAGATTATGACTTTTTCTTCTCTCCTCCAACATTTGTCAGGGAAAGCTTGCTTCCAGGGAGATACCATGAGAGTACAGGTACTTGTGAGAAGCACTTGACCATAAAATGCAGAAATTACTTTGAAATTTGAAACAGCTGATAGCACATTTTTAAAGGTGTAAGACCTTTATAAATTAAAGATGCAATGAGTAGTGCTAGTAATGAAAGTATAAAACATTTAGAACTACTCATTTTCTTTACTGTAGTAATGCAGCATTTCAATTTTGTACAGATTTTTATTTTAAGTTTTTGTTTGCCTCGTAACAAATACATTTTGTTTTTCATTCAGAAATGACTGAAGAGGTTATTGGCTGAAGATGAGCAGCGTTTCCATCCACACACAGAAACTGACCACAGCTGAAATTCTGATCATTTTATTGGCATTCATACATATTGAAAAACATCAATATGTTCAATACATTCCAATGTTTCAACTAAAAAACGTGTAATGCAATAACTTGAAACTCCAGATTTTATGCAATAAACCAACAAAGCATGGGAAGTGAAAGGAAAAAGAACGGTTTAAAAAAATACATAGACACTAAATAAAATAAGTATTAAATCCTTTTTTTCAGTAAATAAAAGTTTGAATAGTTTGATTTGCATTTTAGTCCCCCTGAGTGTAAGAGAGGTTAGAACTACTTTTCACTGCAAGGTCTGTTTCCACCAGCGTTTTATAGTTACAGACTAAAATATTTTTTTCTCATTTTTCTTTAAAGCTTAAAATATTTTTCAGTCGGACCTGATAAAGAGCCTCTGCCAACATCAGTTGTCAAGTTTTGCCGCATATTCTCATTCAGATTCGGCTTTGTGCTCAAACTGGGCTCTGACTGTGTGCTCAGTGTCGTCCTGCTGAAAGGTGAACCTTTGATCAACGCTCAAATCTTTCGCAGCCTCTAACAAGGTTTCTTCCTGGATTATCCAGATTCCCCTTCCTGCTAAAAAGCATATGCACAGCATGATGGGGAAATGCTACCCTGTTTACTTGTGGAAATGATGCGATAGTTTTTCACTTCAGTGTTTTGCTTCAGAGCCAAAAGGTTCAGTTTTGGTTGAATCTGACCAGAAACTTTCTTACACACTTTTGCCTCGTCTTCTCTGATTTGACAGTACATATCATGGCTTTTCCTCTTACCGTTCTTCCATAGAGACCCTGATTGTGGGGAGTATTGCTAATGGCTGTGTGGTCAACAGAGCTCCCACCTGAGCTGTAGATCTCTGCAGCTCCTCTGGAGTTAGCATGGCTGAATACTTTCCTTGTCCAGCTTGTTGGTTTATGACAGACATGTGTTGTTTGTGTCAAACTCTTTGCATTTTCTGTTGATGTCCTGAGAAATATGTAAAAGTTGATTTATTGCTTTATAACCTAACATCAATACACAGTTTAACTGACAGTAGCAAAGCTAGACTTTGGAAGAAAAGGCTTTAAATTTCACTTAGGCATAGAGAAGACACAAATATTTACTGTATGTAAATAAAACCCCTTTGAGATTTAGGCGATTAATGACACAGATAAAAAGCCCTGAACCGAAAAGGCGTTTTATTTTTGCCTGATTTAATGTGCATTTGTTCTGTTAACGTAAAGCATTATTGCCTTTAAGTAATAAAAAGATGAATTACTTGTTTTGTTGTGGCAGTTGCAATGAATGGTGAGACATAAATCTGATAATGAGTGTTCTGGACCGTGGCTACGACATGACAACTAACTATAATATTTCACTGTGGTCTTTGACAAAACAAAGAGCAGCTTGTGATTTTACTTTCACAGTTTTGCAGTGTTATGAATATAGTAAAAAAATAAAAAAAATAAAAATCCCTGACATTCAGTACATTGTAAATAAAGTTGACCTAAGCTGCGACGGCTGAAGAAACGAAGGCTCCGTGCATCTCGCCGGTGCTGATAACAAATCTTCTTTTCTTCAATCTGCACTACTGTTATGTGTGTAACGGTGTTGGAACTAAGATATACAATTGAGGCTGTGCAGCGCACTCTTTTCACTTTATTTTTAAGCTGCATCATTTCTCTTCACAAGACAAAGGGGAACAGGGAGAGGACAGACTTGGTTGGTTTGGCTCAGAGAGTCAGTATTAGTATTCATAGTCATAGAGAGGTTTTATGACCGTATTTTTCTTTTTATGTTCTCTGGGCCTTGGTCGCAGACAGCTTAGCCCCACCCTCTCATATCTCTTTCCCTGACTGCTCTTTCTTTCTCTCTCTCTCTCGTTGTTGCCATTTCTTCCTTCTCCCGCGTATATGCATATGCATCTCCGCACACACACACACACACACACACACACACACACACACAAACACGCGCGCGCACACACAGACAGGTCAGAAGGAAAGAGATGAGAATGGATAAAGGGAGCTTTTCGACTGCATCAAAGTTTAAAGACAGATTGCTGTAATTTCCCAGGCAGAGTCTTTGGATACGACAGAACACGCCTGGGACACCAGAATAGCTTTAACCTTCTAATGGGTACAGTTATCTCATAAGGATGGAAATAGGATTTGGGGCCATTTGCACTGGCATGCCTCTGTTGTGCTGCCTAATTTGTTTTCTGTAATGTATTCCCACAAATAATAGACCAAGCAGTCTGCATACTTAAGTTGGGATACTTTAAAATTTTAGTTTCTGAAATATTTATTCCGGTCTAAAATATTTAATAGTCACGTTGAGAATAACCTGTTTAATTCAACACAAAGTAACTATAAATGAAGGGGAACAACTAAAATAAAAAGTAGCTTTTAGTTTGGATATACATAAATACAAATAAATAAATCAATAAATATGGATTTTTGTTTTTTTACACGTTTTTAATTGTCCTGCTCAGTGGCCCATTCTTTGACTCCGAGAATGCTAGTTTAATACCTGTATTTTTATTTTTATTTTTTTTTAATGTTGAAATGTTGCCTTTGCTGCACAGTTTCTTAGTTTTTGTTTTCATATTTTTACCTCTGTGTGAATCTGGATGCTTCCTCACTCAGTAAAGGATATTTGTATTGCCTTGTTGCTGAAATTGTGCTATATAAATAAAATTACCTTAACCTTTTTTATTTTAAATACATACAGACAGAAAAAACAGATTAAACTGAAACGGTACAAATGAGCTGAACCTTAATTTTCAGATTTTTAAAGTAAAAGGGGAAAGGTTTTTCAAAATATATGTTTCATTAGCATTTACAAAGACCACAGGTTCTGTTGGCTTGCTTATGTTTTTGTGGTTTTAAATGTGCTGCCAGGTTTTGTGGAAACATGCTGCAGAATAGTGCACACATAATGTTCCACATTTCTGCTTTCAGCACCAGTTCCACATTTATCTCAGTTGGGTCATAAATCCACGTTGCACAGCTATAAACGATCCTCAGAATGACCGTGGAGGAAGGAATAAAGTGGAAGCCGGTACGTTTAAAATCGGGATGTGGACTGGTGATGGGTAAAGTGACCATCAGTAACATTAACAGGAAAAATCGGTGGTTGTGTTCTGAACTTGAATCTTCTTCAGAACATATTTTTATTTGCTCCGTCACCTGCTGCGTCAGTGTCTACGCCATCTTCCTATATAATTGTGGCTCTTGCGTTTACCACTTCACCCACTCGTGTTTTAACATTATAATGAGTTCTGTAATATTCTGAATTACTGAAGCAGTGACTCGCATTGATCCTGGGATTCCCTCAGATATGTCTCTCTGTTCACCTCGCTTTGCATGTTCACCTACTTCTGTGTCAGTTTCTTAAAAAAAAAAAAAAAAAAAAAAAAGAGGATTTGGGGGAGATCAGGACTTTAAACGGTAAGTTTAATGTGGAGTTTTAATGAAAGGCAGTTTTGGACAGTTTATATATTTGCTTCATGTCTGTTTTGTTTTGCTTTGCTGACTTTTTTAGGGAAGGAGTGGGATTCACCCACTCCTTTCTGTAAATAACACTAGAGGGAAGCTCCCTACTATCCTGATCCTTTTTCTTTTTCCATTTTTCTGCTCATTGTTGATCATTTGAAATGTATTTTATTTCCTTCTTATCATGAAAAGTGAAATAGTGCTCCAGTCAATGAAACTGAGCTAGATTGAAATTATTATTTGTTTACTAAGTTCTGCCGAACTACGTTACTTGCCAGAAACCGAACGAGAAAACCCACATACACATTTAAAGTTTCTTGGCATGAAAAAATTTAATCCCAATTAGTCTGAGTTCAGATGACACTTTTTTCTAAGTCTAGACCCATAGAATCACTTGGTCAGCTCTGCACTAAAAGTTTTACATGTACTTTCCCAAGAATCTTTTTTTTTTTTTTTTTGCAATATTTTATATCTTCATTTATATTCATTCAGAAGCTCATCTTTAAAGGTTCACAAACTTTGATCTTCAGTTTTTTTCCATTGAAAAGCTTTGGCTCCAGCGTTGGTTAGAGTAAGGAGCTCTGTCATCTGGGAGCTCTGAGTAGACTTGCTGCTCTCCCCCATTGAAAGTGGTTGATTTAGGCAGTTCAGGCGATTAATCAGGATGACTGCTGGCGTCTCCTTTTGAAGTTTTTTTC